GGCGCCAGCGAGGGCAGGTACAGGCAGCCGAAGCCCTCGGCCGACATGTCCAGCTCGACGAAGGGCGGCAGCGTGCTGGATCCGTGGGCGCGGAAGTCGCGCGGCGTGGTCATGGATACCAGCGTCTTGATGCGGGTCAGCGGAACGGGTCCGCCCAGCCTGTACGGCTGCTGGAGATCTATGTCCGCACACGAGAGCGGCTTGCCCAAGCGCAGGAACTGGCGCAGCTCGGTGGGCTGCAGCGCCTGGGCGGCCAGACGCTCCAGGATGTACTGCATGGGCACGTGCAGCGGATGCGCCTCCTCCGCCAGTGCTCTCGTGGTCAGCTTGAGCAGCTTCTCAGCCAGTCCGTGGTCGCACATGATCTGCTGGTTGCGCTCGCTGCGCACCAACGACTTGATGACCTCGCTGAGGTACACCTGCAGCTGCACCGCCGCCAGGGGTGCCGAATCGCACTCTACGGCGGGCAGGAGCTGGAGCATGCACAGCACCACTCCCGGGTGCACTATCCGCGGCTCGGGACTGGGCTGCGTGAGGTTCAGCTGGCTGGGGTGAGCCGGCACCGCCAGCTCTTTGCTCGGCGATCGCAGGAGCGCTGGTGGATCGCTGACCAGCGTGATGATGCCGCTCAGGCTGGGCGCCTCGAAATTGTCCAGCGCAATGCTGTAGAGCAGCCGAAATACCACGCACACGTAGGACAATGGGTATGGAACGTCTTCGGAGAAACTACAGGAATAGAGAATGTGTCGATAAATCGTTAGACATTTGCCATAATACACACATAAATCGCTTATTTAATTGGAACATTAAATGCCCACTGTGCAACAACGCTCCTCTAGACGTTCACCATATCCTTTCCCTCTGCCCTTCTCTCTCTGCACAACGATCCTCATCTTTTCCCAATCTAAACCCCACCCAGGCTTTAGCCAATCCCACCAAAGTAAATTCACAAATGATCCTCACGTTCCTAGAAAAATCAAATATAATCCTCAAAATGTAAACTATTCATAAGGTATATTAGTTCACCAGAAAATGTATATATTTATGAAACTATAAGTAGAATAAAAATAAAAAATAAATAAATAAAAAAATGATAGTATATAATACTAAATCACCCTCAGAGCTGAAGCCCTCTTGCAGCTTTAGCTCTAACCACTATTTTTGTTAGCTCCTAGTTTTAACTATAAGTTAGCATTGTATCAATAAATAAATAAATATCTACTACAAGGGTATAAAAGTATCAGAAATTGTTATACCTACTACAAGGGTATGAAAGTATCAAAACAGCAAAATTAACTTAATTTGCATGGAAACAAACGCACATGGCTAGATCGACTCTCCTAGTGATGCTGATCAAGAATATCAGCTATATCGGAACTTCTCCTTCACTTCTGACTGAAACTGTTATACCTACTACAAGGGCATAAAAATATCAAAACAGCAAAATGAGCTTCTAAACTACAAGGAAACCAACGCACATGGCTATATCGACTCGTTTAGTTATGCCGATCAAGGATGACTGCAAGGGCTTACAACCGACTGGACTTACCTGACGCTTAGAATGTCCCCGCTGAAGATCTCATGGTAATACTTGAGTAACGACTGCTGCGGCTCGTAGACACCCGCAAAGTCCTGCAAGGCGGAGGAGCCTCCAAAGCAGCCCAACAGACGAAGAGTGTCGCACAAGGAGCTGCTGCTGATCTCCTGGTGAAAGAACTTGGCGTTGGCCGGCTCAAACCTCATGGCGGTGGCCAGGGTCTGGAAGACTATTTGCAGTAGCAGAATGAGATCCTGTTGCGGAATGTCCGGTTGTGGCTGGGCCATGCTGCCGTCCAAGGACACGAATACGCTGGTGACGTAAACGAAGCCGCCCACCTTGCGGAAAACGGTTCGCGTGCGGTGAGAGTCCTTTAGGCATCCGAGCAGCATGTTCAGTATCTGGATCTTGAACTCCACCTGCAGCGGGCTGACACTGTGCATCAGTGAGAGGATGTGCAGCATGTCGTCGTCTCCGCCGACGGACAGAATCAGCTCCCTAACGATTCCCAGAGCCTGTGGCCGGCAATGCTTGAACTTCACCAGCTCATGGACGCACTTGGCGCCGCTGTACTCACGAAAGAGTTGGGCATTGTTACTGGCACCCCCGCCCAGCAGCATGGTGAGAGCCTCCAGCACATATTTGCCGAGCGAGTCCAGCAGACCTTCCTCCGTGTCGCTCTCCAGCTGCACCACCGCCGACTCGTCGCCCTTGGTGATCTGCAGCACATGGGCTGCGTAGCGCGTTAGACAGCCGACGAAGATCTCCAGAATACCCACTTCGCGGTAGACATCCTTGAAGACGGCGTTGTGCCGCAGAATGTTCAGCAGTGTCTTCAGGCACAGAATGCTGCACGGGGTCGACTGGTTGTGCTTGAGTAGGAGCGACAGGCTGATCAGTTCCTTGCACGGCACGAAGTTCAGCTGAAAGACGATGAACTCCAGCAGGTCGTAGAACTTTTCCTGGATCTGCGGGCTCTTCTGGTGGATGCGCTCCGCGAACGTGCTAAGCGTGTGCTCCGACTCCAGTATGAAGTAGTTGGCGTTCTCCGAGTGGTACACCCGCGAAATGGCGTCCAGGATGGTGCAGCAGAGGGCAGGCGTCGTTGACTTGAGAAACACATTCTGCAGCACCTGGAAGGCGTACACGTTTCGCACGCACGTCTCTCGAGAGGTGGCCTGCGGGAGCTGGAAGTTCTGCAGCTTGAAAGCCGTGTTGAACTGGGACGCTGGCGGTCGGAGCTCGTAGAAACCACACATGCACAACGAGGAAATCATCAGCACAAGGTTCCTAATGGCCGCTTGGATCTCCAGCGACTGGCTGCGGTTGTTGTCAAATCTGGAATCGGTTGAGTGAGTATTTGCTTGGGCTAGCAGTTAAACAGGCTTACTTCAGCAGAAAATCGCTGAGGAACACGTAACCCTGGGAGGCTCGAAAGTCATCCATTAGTATCTGCGACACCTGGCTAGAGTCCTTGAGAAAGCAGAACACGGTGACAAACATCTCCACGATTTCCAGCGGATTTCCAAATGTCAGGCGTTGCATATTGTCCACGCACAGTGCCATGCAGCCCTTGGCTGAAAGAAATCATTATCTACAATCAATTTTTACCCTTGCAAAGCTATTAAAATATGAGCCATTTGGGCCTCCCTACCATCTAGTTAAGTTTTTCAACACCACACTTACAATGTATGTAGCTAACGACGGCATCGGTAAGGCCGTTCCTTGATATTGTGGTCAGGATCTCAGCGGCATTCTTGCGCCACACAATGTTGTGGATGGGACATGGCGACGTGATGGCCGAGAACAGTAGCGTCAAGTCGTCCATGCGGGCCAGTTCCTCGGCGGGATAGGGGTACGAACAGAGCTTCACCAGCAGCTGCACGAACACCTTCTGCAGGAGGGTGCGCCTTTCGTGGGCGTTAAACTCACTCGCTGCCCCTCCTTCTGCTGCTGGCTCATCGTCCTCAACCACTGGCAGGTCGAAGAACAGATACAAGCATTTCACCAGAGTCGAGGGAACCGCTGCGGCAGTCATCACCTAAAATGACGGTAAGCTAAGTTTACTGGGCACTTATTTACAAGGGAAAAACGTATTTCAGCCCTGTTTAGGTTTTCAAAATGCCCCCCGTATAATGGGGGTTAAATACCCGCGCCATCTGCGGAAGAATTTAATCTAATGCTCATAACTTCTTAAATAACAGTTTAAAAAATTAAACAATTTTTGATTTGTGGGCCCTAGAAATAAACTGCACAGCGTGGACATAACTAGAATCTAGATTTTAAATCCAAAGTCTGTGGCTTTTATAGTTTGCGAGATTCGACATGGCTAGATCGACTCGGCTGTTGATCCTGAACACGAATATATATACTTTATGGAGGTCAAAGCAACTGATCAAATGTGATGTATTCATTAATCTAATATGAATCTACTTAAGGGGAATAGGGTTTTAAAGGCGAAAAAACGCATATTCTTAATTTTAATTACATATTATTATACAACTTTTAAAGAATGTAAGAAAAAATTTTCAAAGAAAAATAATGAAAAATAAGCCGGTGACCATGAATCTTCGGGGCCCCATGGAAAAAAGTTGGTTTGCGGTGAACATCATAACTCGTGACCGCATTATGAGAACAAATAAAATTTATATGAATTTTAAATTTGTTTACTTTTTCCAGGTAATGTTTTGAAAAGAACAACGCGATTCTTAGCTAAAAAAAATCACAGAAATTTGTTATTAAAAAATAGATACAACAAAACTAATAAAACTCTTTGTGACCTATGTGAATAAGTAATGTTCAAATTTTCAAAAGGATCGGTTCGGTAGATTTTGAGTTCTGATGTTCACGAACTTCAAAAAAGACGTTTTCGGGAAAATCGATTTAACGTTTTTTATACAGTCTGGCAGCACGAACGGTTGCTTGAAGCACTGTAACTCCGATTGTTTTACTCGGATTGACTTGAAATTTGTACAGAATATTCTCCACATGTTGTTGATCCAAAAAAAAAAAAAAAAATAGAATAGGATTCAATCCAATTTAGCATTAAAGAGTGCAATCCCAATTAACAATGTGGCAGACTTTGTCAAATGCTTTGGCAAAGTCGGTATATAATCCACATCCACTTGATAGTGATAGAATAGTGTTTCCTTTAATAAGAGAAAGTATTACATTTTCTCTAACTAATATGCTAACCAAATGTGGTGGGAAACCTCAAGTTCTTCATTCAGTCTTTTTTCGACTTTATGATGACTAGCCGTTTTTTAGACGATTTAGACATCACAATGCGTTGATATGAGTTTGCAAATATTGTTGTGTTTGCCAAAATGAATTCAAAATGTCTTGTTAGAGTGCTGGCTTATTCAGACCCATAAGCCTGAAAAAAAATCGAGGGCTCGACAAAATTTGCTAGACGCCCCGTGCAGTCTTTATCCGAAAAAGAAAGTGTCAACATTTTATTTTGTTTTTAATCCCACAAAAAATTGTGTTTACAATTTTCTCAGGTTCTTTCAAACATTTTAGGAACTTTAGTTTCCCCAAGAAAGGCTAAGTCAACATCCGATTTTTGACGTGCTTCTTTTGAGTCACAACATTTTGGAACACAGGCCAACACAAAATCCTAACTATTTGCTGCTTGCCGTGAGATGAATCAGGTTTGGGTCTTCTTCAAGCTCATTGAGGTGCTGCTGGGCAGTGTGTGCATGTTCTTCCACATTCGCGGCTCGACGTACTGGCCCGAGCGTACTCCGCACGTGATCCTCTACTGCGCCACCTTTCTGTCCTTCTCAGTGCTCGCCGCCCTGGGGGCATTCCGGTTGATGCTGACCCGGAGTTCGGTGCTCTCCTCGCAGCTCCTGCTCACTCTGAGCGCCGTGATCGCGCACTACATCTGCGGCGTGCTGATAATGCGGACCGCCCTGCAGGACCCGCACCTGCCCGCCATCAACTCCAGCATCGAGTACTTGAGCCACCCGCACTTCGCGTACTGCAAGCAGCAGAGCATCGCTGCGCTGATCACGGGCACCATGTACTTGATGCACATGTTCCACGTCGTCGACCTGCTGATGCGCTTGGAGCCGGGCGACTGGCGGCGCCAGGCGACAGGAGGCAAGTTTTCCGACAGTTCGGAGGTTGAAGCGGGTCGCGTTGCCGGCCTGTTCGTGCTCTCCAAGCCGGTGGACGACTTTCTGTGCAGCTGCTGTCGCTGCTACCTAAAGCTGGCCTACTCGCAGCCCCTGCGCTTCCGGCTGAACGCGGAGACGGAGGAGTCGCACTTTGTGGCCCGCTTGTGGCATTTTTTGGGGGAGGTGCGTAGGAAGTTCTTTTCCTTACATCACGTCGGCAGCGACGAGAGTTTCCTGTCCACGCCGACTATAACCAGCAGTGACTCGGACATCATGTCGGTGGTCACCGAGTATTTGGTTTCCATGGAGGAGCAGGCCGGCAAACGCCACAGATCCGTTTTCACCTGGCGTGGCACCAGCGACTCCTCTAGCCTGTGGGCCCAGATCGAGGACAGAAGCAGTCTCAATCTCAGCCCACCTTCAGCCAGGTCGAGTCAGAGCAGCGAAGTCACAATGAGACCGAGTGGAATGGATCGCAGGTTGAACCGGCGGTCAAACGCCTGGTCCGACTCCGAGCCAAGGGAGAAGTCTGAGATCCTGCTGGTGGAGCAGGGTTCGAGTTACTCTCGCCGCAGAACGTTGAGCAGTGCTGAGACGCTCCAAAAGCCAAGACATGATGCATCAGTTAAGGAGACGGATAAAGAACCACACAGGGAGTCGACAAAATCAACACGAGATGAAAGCCAAGTTAGGGACACAGGTGAAAAATTCCGTAACATGTCAACCAAGTCAGAAGAAGACAGGGAACAAAATTTTGAGGATGCACGCGATGAAACAAAAAGAAATAATGCAGACCAGAAGTAATTACGAAACACGAGGAATCTCAGGAACTCTCATCAATAATAAGATAACCAACCTAAGCGTTAGAAACGAATATCAAGTTATCATTCATTTAGTTATTATTATAGCCAACAAATAACTCTTTTACTAACCACTCAACTATTACCAAACTAATCATTAAATGGAAATGTAGTTTGGATCTGAACACGTTCAAGACGGTTACTGAAGAGATGATCAAAATGAGTTGAGATTTGAGGTCTACAAAACATACATAGCAAAAGCCTTTGGAACTATATAATTAATGTTTCTAAAAAAAGAAAGTTGGTATCAAACATGAGGCAAAAATATAATCCTAGGAAAAGGACATTGTTTTGCATTTATTTTTACCTAAAAAATTAAACATTTTGAGAAGTTTGATGACAGCACAAATTTGGAACAACAAGTTCCCACTCTTTTTAAGTCATTTTTGGAGCAAATCCCTATCCGAAATTTAATTCACAGACTTGAATATTTTGTAGTTGTCAGCATATAACTAAAATTCAGAATCTTTAATCAATGGCTTATATCATTTGTAAAGAAAATAAAAGGAAGCTGACCTAAAGCACCACCTTGAGGTAGGCCAAACGTTGCCACATTTCGATTAGAGGAAAATTTAATTGAATTTTCTTTCTGTATAATTGGCAATCTAAATAGGATTCAATCCAATTTAGCATTAAAGAGTGCAATCCCAGAAAAGAATGATTGCAGAAATTATTGATCCTCCTTTATGTGTAAAAGCATGGGACCAAAAACGTGAATGTATGATAGCACCATTATGTCGAAAATCAATTGGTGCCGACGGTAACGGATACGACTTGTAGCTATTCAAGTCGAACCAGAATTATTATTATCAACAAAAAGGCACTCTTAATCGAGCTAAGGAACTTTAAGAAGTTTTTTGTCAATAAAGTCGAGACACTAATAAGCAGCAAAAACAAAATTGAAAACTATACGATTTAAATTGACAACATAAAATTTGAGAAATTCCCCACTTGAACATTTCCATGTTTGGCTGTTGGATTCAACTGACCTGGATAAGAGAAACGTCTCCATTGGCCAGCAGATTGAGGGTTGCCAGCAGCATCCAGCCGCTACTGGTTTCCTCCGTGGTCTCCACCTCAAGAAACTTCACGATGGCAATGGACGCCGCTTCCGTGCTCTGGTTGGAGGCTCGCTTGCGGATTTCACTGACCATCAGACGGGACACTTGCTGGCAAAAGGCGACCACGTCCCAGAACTTCTCGCTCATGTCGTTTGCCGGGCAGCTGCTGAAGACCTGCAAAAATGGAGATTTACTGACGATTCTATCCGCACGGACGAACTGTCTTACCTTGCAGAAGAGGGGCAGCATCTCATAGAGCTTGCCGTCGCGCTCCTGCTCGCTTAGCGGTTCCCTCGGGTGGGTGTAATCGTTGAAGAGCTTCTTTAGCGTGCTAAGGCTCACTAGGACGCGAGCGTCCATCAGCGCCTCCTCCCCCGATCGGCCGTTTGCGGCGGGCGTGGCGCCGAGATCCGGGGCGGACCTGTTGCCACCGGGAGAACTGTTGGCCGTCGAGGAGCTGCCGCTGCTGCCACTGACGCTGCCTGCGCCAGCCGCTCCGCGCAGCTTTCGCATTACGTTCATCTTTGTGTTGATTTATTAGAGGTGTGATCAGTCTGTAAAAGCAAGAATCAAGAAGATATTACCCTGAGATCGATTCAAAATGACGTCTCGGTTACAAAAACTCTGCAAATATTCGGATAATTTCACATTTCTAAGGGGTAGGGTAGAGAAATATTTATCAACTGCAAAAATATCGAAATATTCAGTAGTAACTATTTTGTAGTTGTACTTGAATGTAACTCATTCATTCATGCTTCACGAAATTAAAAGGCTTGATTACACAATGAATTGCTGTAGACTATTGAAAGAGGATGCTTACAACTTGGATAAAAAATCTTGATTTTCCATGGATACGAGGAGCGACAATTACGCACTCGAAGTTTTCTTATTGGTTATTCCGTTAAGGCCCAGATTCTTATACCTATTTTGCGAGCCATTATACCATTGATTGGAGCCATAAAAACAGAGCCCTTCCCTTCCCTTCCCTACTCAGAACATACAGTTTTCAATACATGTTAAGGATTTTTTAAAATTGGAGAAAAAATAGTAGCAGGCAATACCCAAAAATACAACTCAAAATACTTATAACTACAGCTTAGAGCGAAATTACAACACCCAGTATTTTTCCAAGAAAAATTTAAATAGATTACATTGAAGATATATTTTTTAGAGGCAAGAAGTTGTGTAAAATCAGAGATTTTAACTTTGTTGTCATGTTCCAAAGACATGGAAATTCAAACCGGGGTCTTTTTATAGTGCTTTGTTGTATTAAAGGTGTTTGTCAGCAAAGAAAAAATGTAGGTATTATAAGGGCTAAACAAATCAAAATGTCGTCAAAAATTGTATTATTTATTCTTATACTGATGAAACACAATGCATTAAAGGGTGCTAAGTTCGTTATTTTCTTAATCATTTATAATCTGACAGCAAACAAGAAATCATAGTCTTCAATTAAAAACAAAATGAATTCACTGGTGAATGTGCTATTCTCGTGGCCACCACTGTGCATCTGCAGTTCAAAACAATCCAGCAGGTGGTTTAGAATGTTGGTATATCTACAGTGGAATCGCACTTATTCAAAATGTAAGTGCATATATGTATGTGACCGTACTGAACATTGTATGTTCATATATGTATGTATGCATATCGTTGCAAGGTATAAAATTTTAGCGATTTATTTGCACAACACTGACAACAGCACAAAACACTTTCAATTCAGCTGCTTAATTGGTTCTTAAATCACATCATCGCACATTGCAGTTAGCGTTATTGCTTGTTTTCGCAGCTATTCTATTTCTGTTGCCGCCACCTTAATTAGCGGCCCACTGGAGGTGAGTCACGCAAAAAGTGCCACCATTGTACTCCATGCGATTATTTACTTTTCGGGAGTGAATGAACGTGCGAACATTGCCGTCGTGTGCGAGTGTTTGCCACTGGGGATTCAGCAACATTGTCAGCAAATATTTGAGGGGAGACAGCTGTTCGACGTTTACTTATTGCGCACTTGTTTGTTTACTTCAACTTAACTCCCATTTGGAGTGGTTCTCTGGCGTTTACCGTCATTTTCGACCAACGCATTTGGGGCAGCTAACGGCCCGGCTGCTCTGTTGTTGCTTTTCGGGTTCCGTTTGGTCCACTCTTTCGTAGTCGGTCTTTGTTTTGCTCGATTCAATCGCGCTTCCACGACAATTTTATTGATTTTTCTTCCTCTCTCTCGTAGCTCGCTCTCTTCCTCTTTCTGCCACCCGCCCCTTTCACACACAAGCAGCAGGTCGAAGTTGAAAATTTTCACAGACAGTTTTGTTGCTTATTTCACGGATTCACCACTTACTATTACTGTTCATCGCCAGCATTGTGTTTCTTGTGTGAGTTCTCACTAATTTGGACTTTTAAAGCAGTCGTTTTACATCTTGTTTTTTGAATGAAAAAGTGAAACGACTTTTTCTTCTGTACTCTCTTTTCGTTCTTCGGAAAAGTGTTGTTAAGCGTCGCTGGCGGATCAGCTGTGCACAATTCGCTACCACCGCCGCCAGTGCTGGCTAACGACTGCCACCAGGATTGCACTTGGAAATGTAATCGGCGCCTAGCTCACAAATTCGAAAATCAACGAAATTGATAACAGGAAGGTTAGACCTTTTCAAAATGCAAATTAATAAAGGTTTTGAATTTTATTTTATGATCTCTATTATATTGCGTTTTTACGCACTTGAAAAAATGTTGTGGCATTTTTGAAGAAACACTACGTTTTTAACATCTAAAACTTCAAAAAATATAAAATCAAAACTACCTACATTTTCATTCTAAATCTTGTTTCGTAGTTTTCCAATGTAGGCTTTTAATACCCTTGCAGAGGATATTATAAATTTGGTCAGATGTTTGTAACGCAGTGAATCAAACATTCCGACCCTATAAAGAATGTACACTGGTCGGCATATATATTTTGTCATAGTATCCATTTGACTATAAGACTCTTCAACTAAGTACCGGTGCATTATTAGAACCGAAAATTATGATGAAAGAGAAGTGCAATTTAATAACTGTAAGTATGCAAAATATTTCGTCAATAGTCTTTTGTTCTTTCGTTCTGCTGATAAGAATGCCAGCAAGCAACGAATTTTGCAGCGGCATATATATTTTGTCATTGCGTGATTTAGTTGTCTCTAGGCAAGCTGAAAGTGTTGTTCAAGAATATTATTACAAGTTGTCGTTACTAGTGCATAATATTTCTTAGTATTTAAAATGTTTAAAAAATCTGAGATGAGCACCAAAATTAAATCAGAAATGGTGATCAAATATAACTTGGGTTTTCCCGTAATAAACATTGCTAAGGAATATAATTTGTCGCTCCATTTATTATCAAATCAATAAATATAAAAAATGTAACGTTGTGATCAATGTTCGCCGTAAAGGCCGAAATCGAAAGACAGGAGCTGATGCCGGCCGTCTTATCATTCGTGCTTTTAAGAAGGACCCTCTAAAAACACCAATGGCTGTATCCTTGGAGGGGAACGAGACTGCATCCACTTCCATAAGTGAGAGAACAATACGCAGGTGTTTGATTGAAGCTGATATAAAAACATATATTGCAAAGCCAATACCTTGTATCACCCCAAAAAATAAACTAAGGCGTTTGGAGTTCGCGAAAAGGTACACGACCAAGTCCGCTTTATTTTGGCGTAATGTCCTGTGGACGGATGAGAACAGTTTTGAATTTCACGCATCCCAAAAGAAAGTTTTTGTACGAATTAACAAAGAGCAAGTCATGGGGGTGGAAGCGTAATGTTCTGGGGTGCAGTTTCTTATAATGGTGTGGGAGACTTGGTTTCCATAGACGGATCCATGAACCAGAAACGTTTCCCACCGGCGACAGATTAATAGAATAAGAATTTATTCTTCAACAGCACAACGCTCCACGACATTTCTAGTTTAAAATAGATTTATAAAATAAAATA